TTGCTTGCTAAAATAGAAACCATGTGCAAATATTGTGATGAGCTAACTAACAAAGTTATTAAGTTTGAAGCCATTAGTACAACCCCCACCGAGGCATCTAAAAAGAAAAGTTCTATCTTTAACATGTCTAAAAAGGATGCCTCCACTTCTTGCATTGATTTATGTTTAGACTCACCCTCGTGCAACCAAGTTTGTGTTGAGAAAGTTGTTGTAGATACATGCACACAAGAGGTTGCAAAGGAAAATGAGCAACTCAAGCAAGAAGTAGCTCACCTCACCAAGGACTTGACTCAAGTGAAAGGCAAGGCGAAGCAAACCCAACTTCATCAAGATAACACCATCAAGGGAGTGAAGAAGCTTGATGAAGGACAAATCGTGGTTTGCTACATGTGCCACAAGGAAAGTCACAAGTCCTATAAGTGCAAGGTGAAGAATGGGGGAGGAGCAAAGAAGAAAGAGAAAAACAAAAAGCAAACATGCAAGCTCTCCAACACCTACACCAACAATGTAGACAAGAAGGCCTCCACACCTTATCTCTTGAAGAAGAAGAAAAATGACAAGATGGTGGCCATCAAGGTGAACAAGCAAGCCAATAATGGGGTCAAACGCTTTTGGGTGCCTAAGGAAATTATTTCCAACATGAAGAGCACTAAGAAGGTTTGGATCCCGAAAGAGAAGTGAAAAGTCTGATGGACGACGGAGAATTTGGAGACTTGGCAAAGTATGGATGCATTTCATAGGGTGCATCATTATGGACAAAGTTATTACCAAGTGGATCAATGAATACTATGGACCCAAATTTCTCTTCCAATGTTAGGTAACTAGATTCAATTTACTTCAATTGGTATTAGATTTAAATTTTCCTACAATTGGTATCTTTTAGCATCTAGTTACCCTTCATGCCTAGGTCTGCATTTACATGCTTATATCTTTTGTCATGCATACAATAGGTATATCTTATGGTAGACTTGCTCGGTTTCATTCTTAATCCTTGGAGCAAACCTACATGGTTTAAATTTGTTTAGGAGCACAGCACATAGCTTATCTTTTGATTATTCATCTAATATGTGCCAAAGTCTAAATTGTAGATAATTTCTATCGAATATTATCTTTGAAAATGTTTCTCACATTCATGTGATGTTATATTTCAAGTGGTATTGTTGATTCTAAAATCAATGTGCATGTTTTCTATAAGTTTTCCATACTTGTGTGCACAAATTTAGGGGGAGGCTACTCTATAAGTTGGATGCCTTGAGACTAACACCTTTTCAAGCTTATCATGTGTGTAGTAGTCTCATTGCAAGGAAAATGGAGTCCCCGGAGTTAAGCATCATATTTTAAATATATCCACCACCTATTGTAAGTGGTAGAAATCAAATTGTGTCCACATATGGTATTTCTAAACCGATATCATCATGTTGATTTTATTTTGATATTTATATGCTTTCTTCATGCATTATATATATTAAATTCCCTTGAGCAAAAATTTGCCAGTTATGCATATGCTTTGTCTTCTTCCATATGTATGCATATATTTAGGGGGAGCTTAGTCTATATAATGTGAGAGTCAAATTTTGTGATCTATTTCACTCTACCCTCAAAAGATCACAAGGTTTGACCCTCCCTTGTGCTACTAATATCTTTCTTTTTGGTGTTTGATTCCAAAGGGGGAGAAATTAGAGGACCAAATGCAAGCATTGATTTGTAGTAATGGTCTGAGAAACGGAGGATAGTGGATTATGGAATGCGGAGAATTTGTAGGAAGCAAGGCTTATATCCATAATACCACATGGGGACATTTGCAAGGGCAAGATAAGTTTTTATATAGTCTTACAAGTAATATCTTTTAGCATCATATAATCTTGCCCCCCTTGCATTGCATCCTAACAAGTAGGTAGTTTTTAAATTTCAAAATTTTATTATTTGCTTGCTTTGGTCGTGTTGTCATCAATCACCAAAAAGGGGGAGATTGTAAGAAAAATGGACCCTAGGCCCATTTACTTTGGATTTTGGTGCTTGATGACCAACACAACCAAATTGGACTAATAAATTTGCAAGTGATTGTTTTGTAGTTCAATAGGATGCAAGACGTGACTTGGACAAAGGCGACATGATGATCCGATGATCAACACCTCAAGCAAGACCTTAGGAGCACAAGAAAAGACCCAAGATATCAAGCAAAGTCCAAGCATGAAGATAGGAACCAAGCCGCACGCAAGATCGCGAAGAAATGAGCTCACTGCAGCGACTGGACACTGGACCGGACGCTGACGAAAAGCGACCAGACCCTCCGATCAGAGGCTCGGCAACAACAGCTGTGATCGGACGCTGGACCGGACGCTGGCGGTAAATTGACTGGACGCAGGACAGCAGCGTCGATCGAGTACAGAGAGGTTCCTGAGCGGCGAACTTGTGACCGGACGCGTCCGATGGCAAGTGACCGGACGCTGGCAGCGTCCGATCCGTTGTTTGTGGCTCCAACGCTTGGGACGACCGGACACATCCAATCAGGACGACTCCAGTGTCCGGTCAGTAGCAGAAAAACGGGATTTCATCCCCAATGGCTACTTTCTCAGTGGGGCTTATAAATACAACCCCCAACCAGCCATTTGGAGGTGGTGGAGCTGAGGAAACATATCAAGGGTGTTGATACACCATTTTAGTGATCTCTACTTGCATAGTGCTTAGTGATTCATTAGGTGATTAGCGTAGGTACTTTGCGAAGTGCTTAAATTGATTAGACCATCGCTTATGCACTTGCTCTAGGTTTAGGCCTAGTGTTTAGTGAGGTTTACATACCTCTTACCATTCGGTGTTTGCACGCACTATTGTTGTACATCGGAGGGGCTTGTAGTCTTGCGAGATCACACCAACCGCGGTTATGGTGTGGCCGCCACCGTGTACCGGTGGGAACAAGGCCCGCGGTATTTCGGCCAGAAGCTTGATAGTGAAGACGGCAGGGAGCATATGGGAGAGGCTTGCCGGAAGGCACGTCGGAGACCCACTTGCGTGTGGGGAAGGCCTGAGGCTATCCACGGAGTTACCCAGCCAGGAGCTTGGCCCTTGCGAGGGATTCCTTGTGAGGGGCTCCAACGAGGACTAGGGGGAAGTTTGCGCGCTTCTCGATTCCTCCGTAAAAATACCAGAGTCGTCGATGGGAGTTTGCATATCTCTACCTTGCTCTTTAGCTTCCGTATTTACATTAATTGTATTACTCCTTTTGTGGTAGAGATAGCAACACACTAGCAAAATCGTAGTTGCACATTTAGATAGTTTATCTTTTGCATGGGTTTTGCTAGGGTTAGAAAAAGAGGCCATAGTTTAGAAGTAGATTTTTAGGTTGCCTAATTCATCTCCCCCTCTTAGGCGT